CGGAGAGTTCCGTGCTTCCAAAGAGCTCATTACGTAACCCCATTGCAATGTATTGAAAGCATTTCAGACGTTACAGAGAATCAGGATAACCTACTGGCGACCAGTCCCAATTCTCCGTGTCGCTCGAAGTACATCGGTGACCGCATCCACTGTAGTTTTGCCTTAGCAGAAACCATACTGTCTTATAACTGATACAATTTTCCGATGTAAGAAAGAAGGCAAATAGCCTTCCTGCTGCCTTGAATTTGCTGCTGCAAATGCTGCCTTGAATTTAGATAGGAGCATGAACCTCGAGTTTCCAGTGATTCCAGGGAAACAACTGCGCAGCAAGACGAGCATTCATGCATTCCAGCAGCCATGTGAGCTTCAAACGGTCCAGATGTACAACCGCCTCAGGCGGGACATCCTCTGCACCGGGATTCCTGCCAAACTTGAGGGATTCTACCCTCCGGCTTTCCCCTTAAACCGACCCTTGCAAGGGGGAATAACGGAAACATCGATTTATCAAGAATCTGTACTCCGCAGAAAAAAATGATTTAAACAAGAAATGTAGCTAAGATAATTTTAAACAACAATGTTTACTAGCACTTCCTCTGTAGAATGAACCATTCTCTCAGAAACAATGCTTAAAGCGACCGACGATTTTAAATGTTAAATACGCGAGTAAAATCAATTTTTTAAATAAAATTTATATTAACCCGAAGGTAAAATTCAATATATTTTGATCAGAGTATCTTAACGACAAAAATCGAAATGCGTTTTAAAGGTAAAGAATGCAGCTTTCGTATGGAATTTTGTGCTCCCTACGAAGTGGGGTTTTTAGGGGCAAGCCCGGGGATAGTATTGGCAAACTTTTTGCATTGACTATAGACACTAGTTTAAAGACATGCCTCTTATAACCTACAACCTATCACAAGGCTTATTATAATAATAGGTAATTACACACTTTTCTTTACAACATGTTTATCGTATTTCTAAATATGGTTATTGACTTACAATGTAAATTTAAGGAATATTAAAAGAAACAAATTCATATTGTATTTCCTGTTACAGGTAACTTATATCAGACACAATTTTCTAAATATATTCCTCCACGAAATATTAAAAATGTTTATATTAATGCTGGTTTGTTACATTATTAAAACTAATTTCAATTGCAACTGTAATAAAGATTGGTTCCCATATAAACAGAATAATTCAATTTTGACGCTACATATTATACCGTCACGAATAGTCATAGTTACAACTGTAGATATTATGAAGTGTCGCCGGTATGAATTGACGGCGTTACGAATTGTCCGTTACGATTTTTGAGGTGACGAACTTACAAAGAGAAGGGTATGTAACGATGTGTATCGCTCCGTTCCGTCAGCGCTTCCCACTTACACCCACCAAAAGTTCCTTCTCCATCGACGCGAACTGGAGGAGATGGAAGGACTTCTTCTTCTTCAAGTGCCATCTTCGTTCCGAAGGTTGGCGATCATCAGGGCTATACATTTTTGAAACTGCTGACCGAAACAATTCGTTGTTACTACAGCTATACCATTCCCGTAGATTCTTTAGCCAGAAGTTTCGTCTTCTTCCTATGGACCTTTTTCCTGCTATTTTCTCTTGCATAATTATTCGAAGCAGTTCATATTTTTCGCCTCTTGTAATGTGTCCCAAGTATTGCAGTTTTCGTTTTTGATCGTAAATATGACTTCCTTTTCTTTATTCATTCTTCTGAAGACCTCGACATTTGAGACACTCTCGTCCATGATATTCTCAGGATTCTGCGATACATCCACAGTTCAAATGCCTCTAATTTTTTGATATCAATCTTTTTCAACGTCCATGACTCCATTCCGTAGAACAGCACAGAAAGTACGTAACATCTCATCAGGCGAAGTTTCATTTCAAGGCTCAAATCTCTTCCGCAGAACGCTCTCTTCATTTTAGTGAATATGGATCTGGCTTTTTCTATTCTTATTTTGATTTCTGCTGAGCTATCGTTGTCTTCATTTATAAAAGTGCCTAAATATTTGTATTTGCTAACTCGATCGATAATTTCATTGTGTAAATATAAATTTTGGACATTTTGTGTTGATTTCGATATTACCATAAATTTAGTTTTCCTTATGTTCAAAAATAGCCCATATTCTTCGCTGCAGTCTGCTATCTTATTACCTTATCTTATTCACCAATGTATGTAGCTAAGTGTTTCTGCGATCAGAACGGTGTCGTCGGCAAATCTCAGATTGTTTAATCTAACACCATTTATTTTAATACCTACGGATTGCTTAGAGAGTGTTCTATGGAAGGCCTACGACGTTAAAAAAAACAGCGTACGCACCACGAGATAGTCGAGTTCCGTAGAGTGCTGATCTAGTAGGAACTCCACTGGGCCTCTGGGTATTGTCTAGAGGTCAACCGTCCGGAGTTCCGTCAGAGTATTGACCTAATAACAACTCCACTGGCCCTAAGGTATTGACTGAAGTATTGGAGTATTGATCTGAGACAGACCTATTCTTTCCTGTGACTAAGCACTGATTAGTCGATGCTCACTCCTGGTTGGACCGAGTGTTGATTGGCCCCATTCCGTCTCTATTCATTTGACCTGTCTTCGCCGCGTGTGTATCAACACACCGTAGTTATCGTCTCACGGATTAATGATTGAATCATTCTGAACAATTCTGTATACATTATTACCTACAATATACAATACAATTTTACTTTATTTTATTTATTTAGAATATATTTTTATCAAATTAAACGTGAGTTTTACTGAGTATGTTGTCTAACATAACATTTTCTATTTACTAACATATTATTTATTGTAACATATTTTCTTTTGTAATCATCCTCATGCAAGTGGCCTTAGTAGCCGAGTACATTAACTTTAAATAAAAAAAATGTTTGTTTAAAAAATTATTTTTTGTGCTCCTATTGAAACCTTCACTGCAAAGGTTATACTTTAAATTAAACATTATTGATTTAGTGATGACAAATGTTGCAAGTATGGCTTTTAAAATTGGAAATATACTAAATTCATATTTGACAAAATAAAACTTAATAACGTACTAGAAATATTAACTACAGCTAGCTATATAAAGCCACTTCAATATTCAAAATCTCATAAAATATGTTCTTGGAACAAGGGTTTTTTCATCGAAAATAGAATACACTTTGCTGTTTAAAATGAGTTTTATAATATTTTTATCAAAGATATGTTACTTTTATGAATATTTACACAATACGTTTTTAAAAGATATTTTTTAATGAAAACTGTACTTTTTCAAAATATATTAAACTTCAGCATGATTTTTCTTTGTAGAAAAATCATATTATATTAAAATGATATTCATAGCGTAATGCGCCTTTCCGTTCCTAATCATTACTCCTTTAATTCTATTTTGGTAGTATTCTCCCCTAAAATTCCTTTCAGACATTGCCTTGGCGATGCCCTTCATCCATTTTGAGGCCGGTCTTCCTCGTTTCTGTTTCTATGTGGGGGTCCAGTATAATATTTGTTTTTTTTTGGAAATTCTGCTTTCTTCCATTCGTCAGAAGTGTCCGTAGTATATAACCTACTGTTTTTCTATGGATTCTATTATATTCATTTGTACTATAACCGCGATCTTGTTGCACGTGTTCTCCAATAGTCCATTTTAGCACTTAAAAGAATGGCGTTATATTTTTTAGTTATTTAGTCTCATACGTGCCCTATCTGTCAACACTAATTTTAGATTCGTCTATTTGTGTGGTTTCTTATATTATTTACAATAAAACCGAATTCAGGAGCCCTATCACACCTCCCTTTTATTCTTCGGTCATTTATATTTTCTTCATTTTGTCCCGTACTAGTTGCTTAATTGTAAAGTGTATATATTCTTGGCAACTTTAAATTTTTTTCTGGTTCAGGTAGAGTCTTTCCTCAGTTTCTTCCCTCCGTTTACATAGGTACTATGTTTTTTTATGTTTACTTCCTGATCCCACTTTCTATATTCGTTTACGACTTTCCTTGACGTAATTATAAATCTTCCTTGTCCTGTAAATAACAACTTGACCATCTGCATAGTGAAAAATATGTATTTCTATCATCTACCGGTACTCCCATTCTCTTACATTTCTGTTTCCACTGAGTCAGGACCTCATCAATGATTTTTTGATGTTTTATTTTCCAATTTAATTTTAGAGGCAGAGTTTGTGTACAGGTCTTTCAGATCATCAATGGGAGACATATTAATATTAGATTACACGGTGCTGCAAAGATTTTGATGTCTAAGAACAAAAGTGTTTTTCTAGAGGATTTGTTGGCGCTGAATCTAAATCCGCTTAGATTTTTTTTTCTATCACTGCTATAATGCACTTCTATATATATATATATATATATAATATATATATATATATATATATATATAATATATATAATATATATATATATATATGTATATATATATGTATATATACATTTATATATATATATATATATATATATATATATATATACATATATAATATATATATATATATATATATATATATATAATATATATATATGTATATATATATATATATATAATATATATATATATATATATATTATTGAAAATAATTGTAAACACATTGAAAGCTCGAAATTTGATTTGGAAAAATCAGTTCATGATAATGAATAATTACAACACATCGAAGTTTGGTTGTAAAATGTTCTGTTGGCTAATTCCACGGTTTATTAATCATGATTTATGATTAAACAAAGTTAATTATTTTATAGTGGATCCATACATTACAAATATAAGTTATTTGGCAAAATTAATGTAGCGTTTCATAAAATTTACAATGCAGCTAATATTACAGTATTTCAGTGGTCAGATAATATACAAATTACGTAATATAGATAACTAATTACAGAAATTCGTTGATGATATTTATCACACGTAACAATAAAATGAATTAGTTCGTGTTTTACCCTTACAGGAGCGAACAGAAAATTTTACTCACAAAACCCACAAGGTACCAATATGCTAAAAGTAGATTTAAAGGTAAAAACGATTATCTTGAGCAGATTTCTTGTTGATATTAAGACATGTCTATACATGAAATCGTAGGCTTCCACGGCCAGAGTCAGAATTATAGTTTTATTCGTCTTCCGGGTTTGGACCGTGTCATTTGTGAGTGACCCAAAAGTGGGTTCATCTCGACGTTTCGCTACAATTGTATGTAGCTTCTTCAGGAGAACAAAGAAAAGGAAAAAAGAAAACAAAAGAACAGGAAGATGGGTAGTTAGCAACGGTAACTCAGTTACTCAACGCAACCAGAGGCGAATACTAACTACCAAGATGGGCATTTGGTCACAGTAACTCAACTACTCAACGCAGCCAGAGGTGAAAACCAAATGTCAGGACAGGGATTCACGTCCAACAGCTCAGAACACTAACGCGTCGAGAGGCGGGGAGTGAATCCGACGATTACTCCGCTACCGCTCTATTTATAGTCGCGGTGCCTGTCGTGTCGGGACGTATCGGCACACTTCGTGGCGCGAACGTCAAGAAGCGCGCGCTGGACAATCATGTGGCTGCATAGTGGTGGCGGGACCGGACGGTGGCTCTAGACTGAGATTCCAGATGGGAGACAAGTAGTATCCTTCCTCTCGATTGATATTATGGGGATTTTTTCGGATCTCTAGAGATTCGCGGATTTTCCTGGAATAAAAGAAGGGGCTCTTAGAAATAATATGGGTTTTTTTTCGAACAATATGGAATGACCGGTTTCTTGGCAGTGTTCAGCAACTGCAGAATGGGAGAAAAGACCTGATCGAATGCATCTTTAATGCTCTTGAATCCGAGTTTTGACGGAACGACCAGTTTCGCCAATATACACATGTCCACATGAACAAGGAATAGAATAGACACCACAGGAAGATAGGGGCGGTAATGGTCCTTAGGAGAGGGTAGATATTGTGAGATTTTCTTGGGTGGTCGAAAAGTAGTCCTGATACCTTCTTTGCGAAGAATTTTGCCAATCCTATCAGTGACATTTCGAATATATGGAAGAAAAGCCACAGGAGTATTACCCGAAGATTCTGAATTTGTTGTCCTAGGGTGTAAAGGGGGATGTAGATGTTCCTAGATCCTAGGGATGTTCATGTGGACATGTGTATATTGGCGAAACTGGTCGTTCCGTCAAAACTCGGATTCAAGAGCATCAAAGATGCATTCGATCAGGTCTTTTCTCCCATTCTGCAGTTGCTGAACACTGCCAAGAAACCGGTCATTCCATATTGTTCGAAAAAACCCATATTATTTCTAAGAGCCCCTTCTTTTATTCCAGGAAAATCCGCGAATCTCTAGAGATCCGAAAAAATCCCCATAATATCAATCGAGAGGAAGGATACTACTTGTCTCCCATCTGGAATCTCAGTCTAGAGCCACCGTCCGGTCCCGCCACCACTATGCAGCCACATGATTGTCCAGCGCGCGCTTCTTGACGTTCGCGCCACGAAGTGTGCCGATACGTCCCGACACGACAGGCACCGCGACTATAAATAGAGCGGTAGCGAGTAATCGTCGGATTCACTCCCCGCCTCTCGACGCGTTAGTGTTCTGAGCTGTTGGACGTGAATCCCTGTCCTGGCATTTGTTTTCACCTCTGGCTGCGTTGAGTAGTTGAGTTACTGTGACCAAATGCCCATCTTGGTAGTTAGTATTCGCCTCTGGTTGCGTTGAGTAACTGAGTTACCGTTGCTAACTACCCATCTTCCTGTTCTTTTGTTTTCTTTTTTCCTTTTCTTTGTTCTCCTGAAGAAGCTACATACAATTGTAGCGAAACGTCGAGATGAACCCACTTTTGGGTCACTCACAAATGACACGGTCCAAACCCGGAAGACGAATAAACTATAATGTCTATACATGTTAATTGATTTACCTTGAAGCAAAATTTTCTCAATTACTCCTCTCAGAAAATTACTTTCACGTCGCCTATGTCCACGAACTTTACTAGACCCATTAGAAATATCCCTTAGCAACGAGCGATTTGTCACGCCTGCTCGTAACAACGAAATGAATCACAGTATGTGTGAATTTCTCTTATTATCTTTCGTTAGCTAAATAGAAATTCTTCCTCTTAACAAAGAAGTTCGTTCCTATTGTCGAACAACCAAGCTTATTTTCTAAGAAACGCTGAGATGTGGCTCTTCTATAAAATAATCTTTGCAGTCAGGAGAAAGTAGAAAACAGAAAACACGACCGCATCAGACTTGTCAATTAAGTACCATTTTCGCTTGGCACTCTCCAGCGAGTACTCTCACTCTTTTTATCTCTAGCTAGTCTAAGTATCGAAAATCGAATTGATTTTCGTTGTGGTTCCTGTTACATGCGGTTGTGTTCATCAAACGGCGATAAGTGTAATTTCAATTCACCATTATCCATCTATCTTCATACATTTCTTCCTACAGTAAATTTTCTCTCTTGTCATGCAGACGTCCTCCAATTCGACGACACTGAATCAATTCTATTTAGTCTATTCTATTCCAATCTAGTGTATTGTCAGGATTGATCTGATGTATTAACTGTATCTACATTGATTTGATGATTGATGTGCTGATTGAATCCACGGTAATTCGGTACCTTATTTATATCATCTACGCTGCTTGAGACGTCCCAATACACCTGTTGCGAATGTAACCTGCCAGGTGCCTTTGTCGACGACCGTTCTATGAAAGAAAGTTATTACCTGTGACTACCTGCCGCCGACTGTAAGTAAAATAGTGTATTCTTCAATTGTGAGTAGCTGATATTTTAATGATTCAACGATCACCTTTTCTCCGGTGCCACCTAAACCGTTAGGAAAGGATTTATGACTCAATTTCAGTGCCTTCAATTTATTTAAGGTTTGATTATTTTGAATCAAAATGAACGAATTATTAATAGCATAAATTTACGGTATTTATATATGGTACGATGTATGATCAGATTTGTTTTATATGTAGTTTATACAGGGTGAGTCATGAGGAACTTTACATACTTCTACCATATGTAGAGTCCCTCAGGGAGCATATCATGTGGCCACTAAAAAATGTCAACTCCTCTTCTTTATTAATTAACAGGGTGATTTGTGTAATTGACCATTTATTTCATTTTACTGTAGTGTTTATACGGCTCATTTGATTTTTTAAATTTTTGCATGATACAGTACACTACTATCAAGCATTCGACTGGTATTAGCTAAACTAAAAAATTCCAGGACTGGCTTTGGAAAAATTTTTAGGGATTCGTATTAAATATTACACCCTGTATATATTTTTTTTAAAATGCAATAAGTGATTTTCAAACTACATAAATAGCCAATGAAAATGACATATGCGACAATGTTGTCGCACTTTTATTAAATTTTTAGTGAACGATCAAATCTTACCAAAAATAGAACAACCATAATGAAGTATCAAATTATAAGGTATTAATTTAAACAAATGTTATAAATTTCAAACATTTTAATTAAAATGAGTTCCTACAACATAATCTAATACGTAGAAAATTAACATCTTTACTGTCACTTTGTATTATCTCTACGATAGAATCAATTGTTTTTCAATTTTAAATTTTTACTCATAGATCGTATTGGGGCATTATTTTCGATAAATAATAAATTAAATTGATTAAAAAGTCAAACCTCTTGTATGTGTTAGTTTTTGTTGATTTTAAATGATTAAAATTTTATGTCAAATAATAATACATTGCATCAACTATACTAAATAAAAATAAATCTAAAAAAGTTTAAAATGAAGGTTGGCGTTGACCGTTTGACGTTTCTTGATATTTTATACCATTCATTATGTCATTATCAATTGTTATTTATGTGTACAAGAATACATATTTCTTCTGTCATATCTACGTTAAGTACATTGTGTTAGTTTTGGTAGAGCTTTTGTTACTTTCGTTCAAAATGCCACATCATTTTTCGACCACAGAATATGCAGACATAATATTTGTTTATGGATTCTGTAATGGGAATGTTAGGGCTGCTAGTAGAGAATATCGCAGGAGATTTCCTAATCGTCGAACTCCCAGTCATCCAACATTTGGGTCAGTTTTTAATTATTTGCGAGAAAATGGCACTTTTCCTAGTGGAACAACAGAGCGACATGTAGATGAAGCGCAGGAAGATGACATTATGGACGCCGTTACTATGAACCCTACAATAAGCACTAGACAAGTAAGTCGAGAACTCAATGTTACTCAATCAAAAGTAAGTAGAGTCTTACAAAAAAATAATCTATACCCATATCACATTCAAATGGTTCAGCGACTACATGCTGGAGATGAGATCGATAGATTGGAATTTTGTAGATGGATTAACAATAATCGACCAACGCTATACAGGACACTATTTACAGATGAAGCCCAATTTACCAGAGACGGGATAAATAATTCACGAAATTCACATGTGTGGGCAGAAGAAAATCCCCATGCTATTCAAGAACGTCGTTCTCAGTTAAGGTTTTCGGTTAACGTGTGGATTGGTGTCATAAATAACCAATTAGTAGGTCCTCACTTTTTTGATGGTCCTTTAACAGGCAGGTCTATTTGAACTTTCTACAAAATATTTTGCCGAATTTGCTTGCCAACGCGAACGTTGCTATCCGAGGGATGTATTTTCAGCATGATGGGGCACCCCCACACTTTTTACTGGCAGTGAGACAACATCTCAATAATGTTTATGGCAACAGGTGGATAGGACGTGCAGGTCCTATTTCGTGGCCTTCAAGATCCCCTGATTTCAATCCCGTTGATTACCATATTTGGGGACGATTGAAGCAACTAGTTTACGCAGTGAATATTAATAACCGACAACAATTAATTGATAGAATTATACATTGTTGTAATACTATTAGAAACGATCCCCAGAGTATCCGTAATTCAATACGTCAATTAACAATTCGGCAACAAAAATGTGTACAGGCTGCAGGGTTCCATTTCGAAAATCTATTTTGAATTATTTTTATTTTGTTACCATTATTGTATCTTTTCCAGTTCTAATTTATGGGTTTATCATAACTATGTACATATTTTTAGTTTTTTTTTTAATTGTTCTTCGTTATTGTTAGTAGTTACTGTTTTTTGTTGTGCAGTGAACTCAGTTTATCATTTCAATTAAAATGTTTGAAATTTATAACATTTGTTTAAATTAATTACCTTATAATTTGATACTTCATTATGGTTGTTCTATTTTTGGTAAGATTTGATCGTTCACTAAAAATTTAATAAAAGTGCGACAACATTGTCGCATATGTCGTTTTCATTGGCTATTTATGTAGTTTGAAAATCACTTATTGCATTTTAAAAAAAATATATACAGGGTGTAATATTTAATACGAATCCCTAAATTAATTTTTCCAAAGCCAGTCCTGGAATTTTTTAGTTTAGCTAATACCAGTCGAATGCTTGATAGTAGTGTACTGTATCGTGCAAAAATTAAAAAAATCAAATGAGCCGTATAAACACTACAGTAAAATGAAATAAATGGTCAATTACACAAATCACCCTGTTAATTAATAAAGAAGAGGAGTTGACATTTTTTAGTGGCCACATGATATGCTCCCTGAGGGACTCTACATATGGTAGAAGTATGTAAAGTTCCTCATGACTCACCCTGTATTTATTATAGATTTTATACACATATTTGAGGTGATCACAATTAAACATTTCAGTAACTTCATGTTAACGTATTCTTAAGACGTAAAAATTATTCGTTTTATTTCAAGTTATATCAAATATTGACGCAGATACAACTATAATATTTCTTGCCTTTTTCTTATTCTTAAAGATACTAAATTACTCATAATTATTTTTCAGAAAATATTATTCGTTGTATTTAATAATAAATTGTGCAGTAACTTATTTCTTGCTATTTAACCGTTCAATAAAATTTTTCTAGAGCATTTACTTTAACTATACCTCATAACCCTGTTGATGAACTATTTGCATTTAATTTTTTTTTATTATATATATATTTACTTCATGTGCATGGTGTATATATTTCAAACATTGTGATTAATTGATATAACGATTAGATTTATTATATAAACAATATATATGTGGCGAAATAAGTGTGTACCGCGTAACCACAATAACTTTTATCTTAAGGTTTATTTTATTCTCGCGTTATAATGCTAACCGTATCTTACCTTTCTCGTTATCTTATTTTATATGTCGTAGGTTGCATTGTTCCTTTAAAAATAGGATGGTGCTCAATTAGCTTCCCAATCTTTATCTTCTAACTTCTCTTCTCTTTATCTTCAGTACTCCACTAACTAATTCTTGATGCTTGAGCCCCAAAGAACCCCTACCAAGATACCTCTAGCAGACTGAAGCCCGAGCCTAGTGCCGTTTCCTGGGTAACCTCCACTCTGTCCATAAAGTTACATATATATATATATATATATAATATATATATATATATATATATATATATATAATATATGTATATATATATAATATATATATAATATATATATATATATATATATATATATATAAACCGGATATATATATATATATATATATAATATATATATATCCGGTTTTTTTAGGCGTTACGCCCGTCCAGTAGGGATCTATGGAGGAGTATAACCGAGCCGCAAGCCCTTATCTCTTGCCGTACTGCTCCACCATAGGCCGATCAGATCCCAGCATATCCTAGTCTAAGCCGCAGATTCATCTAGAATTTTAAACTGCTGCGTTAGACTTTTTGTTTTCTGTACACCGAGCTGGGGCTCGATCCCACATCCACTGAACCATTCGACAGTGAAGCGAATGAGAGGCAGCCGCACAGCCCGCTGAGCTATCTGACCGACCAATAAAGTTACAACCTACGTTTAACACGATTAGTAGAAATGCACATTACACTATATATGTGCATTTCGTAGGTGACGATAGTTGAAGTAGATATTTATTTAAACTTTAGCTCACAGATATATGTTAATTTTATATTTTAATCCTCTTTTCGCTTGTTTTCATCCCACAAGTTAGCCACATGGTAAAGATGGCGAACTTTGTATTTGACATTGCTCATTTACGGAAATCTCTTTAGTTTTTTCTTTTTTAAGTGGTGTAAGATAAAGGTCATGTAAATGTCATCGCATAATCACTCAAACGCTGACCAATCAAATACCTTGAAACAAGGAAACACAGCAAGAGAAGTCAAAACGAATGCTAATATTGTTTTCCAGGATGTAGTCGAACACATAACCAATGTGTTGTGGGAAAGGCCAGATGGAAGAAGGTCTGTAGGGTGGCCTAGAAAAAGGTGGAAAGATGCAGTCAAAGAAGATCTAGAGAAGATGGAAGTGCGACAATGGGAATTACTGGCACAGGACCTACAAACATGGAAGGCAATAGTAAACGCGGCAAAGACTCAGGAAGAGTTGTAGCGCCGTTGATGATGATGATGAGGATGTAGTCGAGGCTGAAGAACCCATTTCGTTCTGATGAAAGTGATGAATATGAACCATCTGGAGATGATTCTGATTCGGAAGCTAACAGTATATACACCATACAGAAATATGTTTTCTATGTAGTTATTTTTTTTAGGATGTAGTAGGTACTAAAAATACCAAGTATAATAAGTGCTCCACTTGTGACCACAAAAAGGTGAAAAAATCAGATGTTCAAACCATCAATGAAATTGGAGGTACCAGTGTCCACCAAAATGTTCTTCTTAAAGACAATGTCAATTTACTTGACCGTCAAGGAAGTCCACAAGATAAAACAGAAACTTACCCACCTGCAAGCCGTAAAAAAATCAAAACTGGTTACTTAGGCCAAGAGAGAACAGAAAAATTAAGAGATTTAAAGGTGGGGAATATATAACCAGCAAAAGAAAAGTCACTAGTTAGAGACTTTTGAAAGTACCGAGGTGCTTAGCACGAAATATACATAAATGTTTAATATTAATTCCTGGACTAGAAAGAGAACAAATTTATAAAGAATTTCGGAATTTACGGTCTTTGAAAGAGCCGTGTCAGTTTATCATAACTCACGTTTCTCACACTGTATGCAGAGATTTTTTTTAGTTACATTAAATATTTCTGAGGGGCTAGTAAGAGGACCTTTGAACAAAATAAGTTCCAGTGGTATACTTCTTTCAGATATGTGAGGAACCACCGAATAAAGTTAAAATAGAAGACGATACTTTTATACATTCCTTTCCAAGTGTTCATTCCAATTACTGGCATAAAAAAAGTATGTATAAATTCTTAGAATCAACATTAAATATTATAATTATGTACAGTTTATATAAGGAAAAATGTTTGGAAGCTCAACGTATAGCAATCTCCATTGAAAAGTATCGAAAGATTTTCAGGGAATATAAACTTAAATTTCATAAACCTAAGAAAGATCGTTGTCAAGTATATGTTGCCACTAAAGAACGTGCCGAATATGGTGATAATGATGAAGAATCTTATAAAGAACATTGCAATCGGAGAGAAGCTGCTCGAAAACTAAGCGACAGTGGTAAAAAAATGTCAAAGAGCAAAATAATATTTTAGTTTTTCAGTCAGATCTGTAAGCTGTTTTTTCTACTCCGAAAGTCCCTAGTGGTACATTCTTCTATGCTAGACAACTTATAGTTTGGCACGACTTACGGTAGAATATGTGCGAATGACGTCTGACAGTTGTGAAGCCAACTAAAAAATTTTAGGTTTATATTCATGTGTATGCATATTGTTAAAGAGCATCCAAACATTAAACAAATTGACCATAGATTTTTGAACCGGGATATGGTAAAATGGAATGTGATTAAATACACGCTAAAATCAAGATAAAATTTAAGAATTTTTCAGTGTACACAACAGAAGTTGGAACAGCTCGCAATAAACCTGAACCATTTGAAGTTGAACAAAAATTTGCGGATTTTGTCCAGATAAATGCAATTTTCGTGGTGAAGGTAATAGTAATACAAGTCTACCATTTAGAAAAGTAGTTTTTTGGGGTTTATGTGCAAAAAAAACAGATCCAAATGCTGTATTCGTTAAAATAAACTATGAAGAAACGACAATGTTTGTCAAATATGTGCCTAAATCACAACGAGGTCTTCCATCAAACTTCAAATCAGCTATGCCTCATACTAATTAACTCCCCATTTCCATTGCCAACTACAGAGATCTAAACAAGTTATGTGAAGATCTACATATTCCACGTACATCCCATGGATTTTATGAAAACCTTCCTGTCCAAACTGTTATAAGGGGTACTCTGCACCAGATATTTCAGAAGAATCTGAATATGACGACAATACATAATTCTATTGCTTTTTGTTGTAATTTTTAAGTTTTGTGTTCATGGTTTTGTTTTTTTTTTATATTTGTTTATTTTGTATTATGTTTCCTAGTAGCTATCAGTAAAAAATATTATTAGTACTTAGTACCTATATTATTATTATTATTATTATGTAAGGTATCAATTTTTTCGCATACAAGGTTTAAATTTATTGTAGAAAATGGAGCTTAACATAAATACTGAAGTATATTTAATACTTTACATTAGCTTATGTATATTGGACTAAGGTATAATTTTGCAAAAATAACTAACGAATCTACGTTTTTTTGCTTGAATAAAAGGATATTGCAATTTAGATTAGATTAGATTAGAAAAAATATCAGAACTCCAAAAATTTATCTTGTTTTAAATTACATTACTATAAAACAAATATTTAGACATTTGCGTTTAAAACCAACTGCAAAATTGCTCTTGGCTTAATGTTCACCATCTTACTTTAATAATATTGATGTTACCATAAAATAACATCAAAATAACGTTAAGAAATGCGATCAGTCGTATACGAAATAGCAACCAGAAGAGCAAAAGTTTATATAACTTTCGTGATTAAATAGGAACTCGGAAAACAAACACTAATATTGATGTTGCTAGTGGCAATTTTAAAGTTTTGCTTAAGTCGAAAAAGGAGATGTATGTATGTGTAGTAGATGTATATATTCGAAATAAATTACAGAAATATTGACGTAGGGTAGTTTTAAATATTTTACCGGGCTCTCCATAGTTCAACATTTCTAATTTCTGTCATTAAATTAGATGGCGCTATGTAACTATTTTACTCCTGTCAAGTGGAAAATTTCCTTAACTGTCCGACTTTTTCTATCTTTGGTTCTTGCTTTTGCCGACGAGTCAGTTCTCAATAATGATGGAATATGTCTTGTCAATGAAGATATAAATGAAGATAGTTTAAAGCGTAAAGATAGACACACTTAGGTTATAAGTATATGAGGTGCAATATTGAAGCATGTTTCATATTTCTTTAAATTATTCCTCTTTGAAAATTACTTTCACGCCGCCTATGTCTATATATTTTCCTAGAAGCCTTAAATAACCCAAAAGCACCGAGCGATTTGTCATGCCTTTTTTAACAACGAAGTAGTTCGCCAAATATTCCCTGCTTTTTTATTTATCATTTGTTAATCCTTCCTGATAACAAAGACAGCAACTTCTATTGTTGGATAATCGGCTTATCTTCTAAGAAAAGCAGAGGTGTTGGTTTTCGATGAGAACATATATCCTGTCTAGAGAAAGTCGTTTACCACACTAGTCTTGCCATTTAAGTATCATTTTTGCGTGGCACTCTTCGGCCAATACTCCCACTGTTTTTATATCCTTAGCTTGTCTAAGATCAGAATTCAAGCTCATTTCAGAGTTGGTTGCTGTGACAAGCTCTTGTGATTTTGTGGTTTTAAATAACAACGAATTTGCATTAATTTTGTATTAAATTTACATAAAACTCCAAGAGAGCTCTCGCAGAGTATAGACTCCAAAAACCACCGAGTAGTAATATTGAACTCATTTCCTTAAATTATTTTCGAATTACAAATTTATCATTTTTCATCACTTCGAAAGGCACTTTGAAAAATGCATTTTCCTTATTCAATAATGCAAGTTTTATTTCCACATCATCATTTTTGTTTACAAAATTTCCTAATATGTACTCTTACTAATCGTATGCAACAAGTTTAATTGAGATACCGCAAAAGTTTGGTACGTTTTGAGCTTTTTACTACTTCATTGTCTCGCTTATTACTGTTTTACTACATTTTTTAATATAAATAAGTACTCGTCTGAATTGGCTGTAATGTAATGAACTTAAAGTTTACCATTTCCTTTAACCATTTATGCGGTGAAGGTTTTATCATCATTACTTTTCCACCGTCTCTCATGTTTCAAACTATATTTATCGAAGAGCTGGTCTTAACTATATAATATAGCCATGTCATTTAGTCTTCTTCTTTATGTGTCAGACATAAAGTATATTGGCGACTATCTCAATAATAATACTCTGTTTTTAATGTTATGGTGTAGTTGACTTTGCTGTTGTATATTAAACTAAGTAAGTAGCACTTCATACTACAGGGAAAATATATTTAAGAAATACTGCAAGAGTAATATAGGTCTGTTTTAGATTTTTTTGTGAAAGTTTGTTAATAATATGACTCTTCAAATCAAATTAACTTTCTTAATTTTAAGAAACAATTTAACCCAATTCACCTAGTCCTAAGGGAGCTGGAGCTCTTTGAAAATAGCTGCTTGTAACTAGTTTTTTTAAATACCTCCAGAATATCTTTGTTTGAAAAAACGAAAACGGGTACGATTATTTATTATCCAGAGCTGAATCGATTCCATCAATTGCAAATTTCTAGTACCGATCATGGTGTACCCCCTTTATGGAAGGAATGGAGGTTACCCAGGAAACGGTACTAGACTCGGGCTTCTTTGCAGCTCAAATACAAAGAATTAGTTGGTGAAGTACTGAAGATAAAGAGAAGCGAAGGTAATTGAGCACCACCCTATTTTTAAAGCAACAGGAAACCCTACGACATATTAAATAAGATAACGAGAAAGGTAAGGTACGGTTAAGATAATCACGCGAAAATAAAATAAATCGTGAGAGACAAGTTATTATGGTGACCGCGTAACAATACACAGTTAATATTTCGCCACATATACCTTGTTTATATAATAAATTAAATAGTAATATCAATCAATAACAATGTCTAAAAGAGATACACCATGCACATGAAATAAATATATACATAAAATAATAAAAGGCCAATAGTTCATTAACAGGGTTATATTGAGGTAAAGTTAAAGTAAATGTTCTCGAAAAATTTTATTGAACAGTTAAATAGCAAGAAATAAGTTATTGCACAATTTATTATTAAATACAACGAATAATATTTTATAAAAAATAATTATGAGTAATTTAGTATCCTCAAAAATAAGAAAAATACAAGGAATATTATAGTTGTATTTACATCAATATTTGATATAACTTAAAATAAAACAAATGAGTGATTTTACGCCTTGAGAATATGTGAACATGAAGTTACTGAAATGTTTGATTGTAATCACCTCAAATATGTGGATAAAATCTATAATCATGGACGTATAAACATAGATGGACACAGCAATAAGATACCTTTAACACACAATGTTTTAAAGCTTCGATAGAATGTGATGCTTCCGCAATGAGCATAAGCGTGCTTGAATTTTTACTCGCGGGTAATTATTCAGATTTTAAAAGTTGGAAGTAGTAATAATGTATAAAAACACGTTCAAAGAATTAAAAAAAACGAGAGTTTAACTATTAACAAATCACGTATTTATAGAAAAATTAAAATACAATTTTATTTGCTTTAAAATTAATACAATTAAATATAGTTGAATTCAAGTTAATTTTTTAATAGTATCAAAATAATGCTACAATAAAAACCTTTAAGTTTTCTCCTTAATTTGCTACCCAAATAGTTCGATCGTCAATATTATTTGGAAACCTACATAGAAAAATAAATCAGTTTTATTCATTTCACTAATTTATTTGTATCCATGAGAAATGTTAAATTAAAAAGGTACTAAACAGATCTTTTTTAATCAGATGATGTCTACTTACAATTTATAAATGTCTACTAATTTCATGAACTCATATCTTATTCAATACATTAATGAACATGAATAAACCCAATGGTACGCCTATTAAAATGTAAACAAACACGATTCCTCATTTCGTCATCTTAAATAATGTAAATTGTATGTACTTACAAATGAAATAAGAGATCGTTGAGTCACAATTGAAGAATCAGACTTACAGTCGGCGGCAGATAGTTACAAGTAATAAAGTTCTTTTATAGAACAGTTGTCTACAAAGGCACTTGACAGGTGGCACCAGCAGCAGGTGTACTGGGACGTCTCAAGCAGCGTACATGATTTAAATAGAATAGAATAGAATAGAATTTATTTAATCAAATATACAAAAATAGTTTTGTTTTTGACAAGTCAAAGGAATAGTGACAATACTTATAAAACATATAAATTTTTTTTGGATAATTTAAACATTACAAACATGTATGTATTTAATATTAACAGTTAAAAAACGACAAACACACTTTGTGGAATTATAAAAAAAAAAACATGAAATATAATTATAATAGGCAACTGCCCTGACCAAACTAGTACTATTGTGTAAAAGCTGTACTTAAGTACTCCGTTTTTGAATAGAAACAATGTTTCAAAAAGTGTGATTTGATTTTATGCTTAAATGATAACAAGTGAAGACTTTTTACTTCATCTGGCAAACAGTTATACAAACTAACGTCAGTCGAATTTTTTACGCTCTTTGTCAACCTAAAACGTTGTGCTCTAATAGCATCTCTAGATCTTGTATCGTGATCATGGACGTTGGAGTTTACGTTAAACTTACCTTTGTTGGCATGAATTTCAATCAGCGTGTTATAAATATAGAGTGAAGGTAGTGGCATAATACCTAAATCCAGAAATAAAGGTTTACAGTGATCCCTATACTCTGCTCTTGCAAGTATCCTCACTACTCTTTTTTGTAATTTAAAAATTCGATCTGCGTAAGAAGAATTACCCCAAACAGTTATTCCGTACTGTAAATGGCTATGAAATAGTGCAAAGTAG